GGCCGGTTAAATTTGTGCTCATTCAGAAATTCAATAAATGACATAAAACAAAAGTTGTGGGAGAAGATGCACCGTCATTGGCCAGGTCATGTGGCCTGGAAAAACATACCGTTTTATGGCCACAGGCTCTTGCATCGTGATGGAGCTAAGGCTTTTGCTCCATTATGTTTCCGCCTGCTTGACTACTGGCCATGGCTGAGGCAAGGAAAAAGTTTAAACCTGAGGCTAAAAAGAGAACATTTTAAGGGATGTGCGCAAGGAAAAAATGAGTCATTCTTGGAATAGAGTTTGTTCGTTGGTGCAGGCTGAAAGAAGAAACCAGATGTAAAACTCAACTGTATTATTAGAGTGGTAATTTAACACTTTGTTCCTACTATACAGTCAGAGACCTTTATTATTTCTCATGTTTAGCAGAAACAAAATACAGGCAGTTGCAGGTCTAGTGCACCTAGTGGCCAAAAGTTATATGGTGTACCTTTAAGAAAAAAATGACTTACTTAGATTTTTTTGCAGTGAAGTATCTAGTTGCAACTGCCCACTTTGTTGGTCTGTTGCATACATCCTGATAAAACACTGAAAGGTTCAAGATTCTAAGTGTAAATATCCTAACAAAGCGGTGCAGGATGCAGCCGCCCCAAACAAGGATGAAGGCAAAAGATGTACTGAAAAAAATGTAGATCTTAAGTCATTTTTTTCTAAAAAATAAGTGCATTTTTGTTGAATAAAGCAGGTAAGTGAGACACTTTGCCAATGGAATAAGACTATTTATATAAAACAGAGTAGAGCCGCTTCTCCTCCACATCGAGAGGAGCCAGCTGAGGTGGCTCAGGCATCTGATTAGGATGCCTCCTGGACGTCTCCCCGGTGAGGTGTTCAGGGGACATCCCACCAGGAGGAGGCCCAGGGGGAGACCCAGGACACGCCTTGGGATTCCCCCGGAGGAGCTGGCCCTACTGAAGCTGCTACCCCCACGACCCGACCCCGGATAGGTGGAAAACGACAGATGGATGGAATTTATATAAACAAGATCATTCTATTTTCCTACTCAAGGATAAATACACCAATTTTAAGAAATTTTGCTTATTTTCAGAAAGTTTTTTGCATTGCAATGACTCCACCATCCCTGTTCTTTCCTTAATGTCACCCCTTGTGGAAAACAGCTGTAGCCTCAGTGAGAAAATATCCCTCCATCCATCATCTACAGCTGCTGATTCTTGGATGATTTAAAGGACTATTTGTCCAGCACAAACACAAAATAAAAATAAAAACCACCATAGTGATTTATAGAGGCCAGTGAACCCAGTATGCTGTTCATGCAATTCCAGATCCACTCACATCTAAAAAATGCATCCATGCCTGTATAAAGATCAGTTCCAACTGTTTGCATTGCCGGCTCACAACACAGACTAATGACCTGGTTAAGTCAACAGGATGAAGGAAAACAATGCAGGACTTCTACTTTCTAGACCTGGATTATCAAAAGATTGTCAAAAACAAACCTGTCAATCACTACACTGGACTGGATAGGTCATTCAGGCCTGTATTTATACGATTTTACTTCATTTTCTACTTTATAAACTTTTAGAATTAAGAAAATTATTTTCTATGATAAAATAAATTGTCACCAAGCTAAACGCTAAGCAAGGGCCAGAGTTAGGAAAGCCATCTGCGAAAGTGTTAGCTTTGTTTCACTTATGCTTATTTTCTTTATGGCCTGTTTGGATAATTTGTTTTATCTAGACAATGAATTTCTTTGTGGTTGGACTTGGTGCTGCCCCAACTTGTTCATCATAAACATTTTTTTTAAGATTATGCACAGATAAATTTGAGAACTAAAGAAAATTAAGTCTAAGGAAGTTATCATCCAGAATTGTAGAATTATGTTCCTTTAATAGGGTAGAGCAGTAAAGCTTCTGTCCTTAACATTTTTTCCTGCATTATTTTTACTTTTATATTTTAAGTAATTTTAAATATGGCACTTTTACACTTTTGAAGGAGTAAAAAGTGTTTTTAAACAGGATTTATACTTCTGAGTAATAAACATAAATACTTCTGACACCTCTGTTTTTTCTATTCTGGAGGATATAACTGACATCTAGACTGAAAATTACTGGTTCATTTTATTTCCATGAATCGTCGATAGCTGGAGCCAAACATTCAGCTTTCTGGTAATTAGTTATCTGATTATCCAAATAGTCAGTGGAAACGATTGGCAGCCTGTCTGGTCCAGGTTTCTCAGAATCTGGTAAGAAGGAAACTTTACAAACAGAACAAGGAGTGATGTATATATATATATATATATATAAAAAAGTTTATTTAGTTGCTTGGATTTTACAGATCTTTTAAATCAAATAATTTCTTGAAGTAGATTTTAGGAAAGCAAAGAGGCAGGTGATTTCAGTGATTGTCGAAGCCATCCCAGCTGGCAGCACAGTGGGTCCATCAGTCCTGCTGAGTGATCATCTTCAGCATCTGCAAAGCCATGGGTCCCTGGTCTGAGGGGATCTGAGAGAGACACCGGGAGAATGACGTCACACAAAACAGTCACACGCCCCCCCGCCGCCCCCGCCGACGCCGAGCAGGAGACATTTAACCTCACAGACAAATCTGAGTCACCCAAATACATCTTACTGGAAAATTCTACAGTCTACGAAGTGCGTATTTAATTGCTTACAATCTTAACCAGTTAACATTTTATTATATTAGAACTGAAAGAACTGAATGAGTTCAAAGCAACTCAGGTTTTACCATATGGCCGGCTTTGAGGATCCAGTAGAAGGCAAAGTTCTTGTACGTCTTGTAGAAGGCTCCAGTGACTCCTGGGGAGGCCGGGTCATCGAGGGGGGTCCACCTCATCTGGGTAAAACTAGGAAGTCCCTCCCATTTTAGCTTCTTCACCCAGAGCTCCTGACCTGGACAAGAGAAAGGGGGAAAAGAGAAATCCTTCAAATGCTTTTTAGCCACAGACCTAGAAGATCATGGGGGGAGATTTACCATTACGCAATACGAGTCAGTAGCCCAGGGCCCCAAGTTCCTAGGGCCCCATAAAACTCTGTTTACGTGTATGGTTAATACAACTATTCCTTACAGTATTTGTGCCCATTAATTATGTTTTTGATAAAAATCCTTTGGCTAAAATGGCATAAGCAGATCATGGCTTGTCTACAGTGAAAAGAAGGACTGGGTTATTTACTTTGG